CCTGACCTCAGGTGATCTGCCTACCTCAGCCTCTTAAAGTACTGGGATTACAGGCGTGAGCCACCGGGCTCGGCCTCTGGGTGTTTAATCTATGTTATTTTCCAATTTCTTTACTGACACCCTGTGAAAAAGGATCATGCTCTATTTATAGATGAGGAAACTGAGCTCAGAGATGCTTTGTAACTTGCCCAGGATTATACAGATAACAACTGGCAGATTTGGAATCTGAATGCATGTCACCCTGATTTCGTTTTCACATGATCACTTCCGCATTGTACATCCTACTTTAAACACAACACACATACCACACTGTAAGCACTGGACTTTGTACAAAGTAGATACTCAGCACATATTAGTCAATGTTTGTGGAGACACTTGGAGAGTTCTAAGACGGACACAATGCTGGAGAATCCTCTCCCTGCCTGTGTTTGTAATATCTCTGGTGCATTTTGTCTTGATAACTTGAGAGTCTGTGAACATCAATTGTTTAAGAGATACCCCTTGGCTTTTCTAGGACAAAACCAAGAGCCAGATGCGGCGGCTCATGCCTGTAATCGCAGCACTTTGGGAGGCCGAGGTAGGTGGATCACCTGAGGTCGGGAGTTCGAGACCAGCCTGACCAACATGGAGAAACCCTGTTTCTACTAAAAATACAAAACTAGCCAGGCATGGTGGCACATGCCTGTGATCACAGTTACTTTGGAGGCTGAGGCAGGAGAATCACTTGAACCTGGGAAGTGGAGGTTGAGCTGAGCCGAGGTCACATCATTGCACTCTAGCCTGGGCAACAAGAGTGAAACTCCGTCTCAAAAAAAAAAAACCCCAAGAGTTACCCTGAGAGTCACTGTCAGATTCTTACCATGTCACAGACACTGTGCTTTATACATACTTTTTAACTTATAAATCAGGAAGCTTTCTGTTGCAAGTAATATAAACCTAACTAAAACTGGCTTAAATAATTACAAAATTCATTCATTTATGTGACTAGAAGGCAAGAGACAGTGTGGTCTCCAGAATCAGCTTGATCCACTACGTGAATGTCTTTCACTTCTATTGTATCCTGTGTGCTGATGGAGGCTGTTCATCCCTGAGGTTTTTGGAGTGAGTTGTCATGTAGGGCCAACAGAGAGAACCCAAGTAACCTCATATTTTGGAGAAGACACCTATCATATGACCTTTGACCTAGAGCTTTGAGTAGACAATGGGCTTCTTTCTCAAATTCAGTTTTTAGGTCCTCTGTCCCAGTATTTAAATTTTCTCTGCTCTCAACCACATGGATGCTCAGTAGACACATCCTCAGGTTTCAATATCATTTCTTGCAGAAAGCACAGACAGCTTTTTTTTGAAAGGACGCGACTCATTTATTCTCTTGCTCAGCAAACACGGAGCTCCTACTCAGTATGCCCTATGCTGTGCCAGGTGCTGGGCTCAAAGAAATCAAGTGAACCTAGTCCCTACTCTCAAGGAGCTCTGTAGAGAGACAGACACATGTACCACTAACTGCAGGAGGGGTGAATTAAACCCTGTGGGAATTCAGCCTTGTGCTAGGCCGCATAAAGACCAGTCTAGTTAGATTCTAGTGCTTCGGCCTTCGTTTCTGTTAGAGTTCCATTGACTAGAAATGCTGTGTGATACTTGTCAGTCCTATGGTGTTGGCCATTAGAACAGTTTTGAAATGTTCAGCAGTTTTCACTTTCATTGAGACTCGGGAGCAAAGCACCATTTTTTGATTTGCTGAGTTGTTGCTAAATTGTGGCTCAACACCATTTAGGCAGCGTTAACACCCATGTCCTATCCAGTTTCTGCTTGCATCCATTGATAAATGCTGTTGTTGCGTAACATAGGAGTTCTCATTTTGTAACTAGAGGAAGAGAGTCTTTGGTTGAAGCAGGACAGAGAGGAAGTTTCTGTCTTTGTTCCCTCACTGATCCGTTGGATGGGTTTTGAACCCCTGTGGTTAGAGGACTGAAGACCAGATGTGGAAAGAACTATTCATGAGAGGAGTTATGCAATACTGGGCATTGGCTGGGCACCATGGCTCATGCCTGTAATCCTAGCATTTAGGAGGCTGGGGCAGGTGGATCTCTTGAGGTCAGGGGTTCAAGACCAGCCTGGTCAACATGGTGAAACCCCATCTCTACTAAAAATACAAAAAATTAGCCAGGTGTGGTTGTGTACGCCTAAAATCCCAGCTACTTGGGAGACTGAGGCAGGAGAACTGCTTGAACACAGGAGGCAGAGGTTGTAGTGAGCTGAGATAGCACCACTGCACTCCAGCCTGGGTGACAGAGTGAGACTCTGCCTAAACACACACACACACACACACACACACACACACACACACACACACACAAAACTAAAACACTGGCACACTGACCTGCTTTAGGGCTTGGTGACAACATATTTGTCAAGCAAGGGAGAAAGACTTCTTCCTCTTCTCTTCTCAGAATTAAACCCAGCTCTGCTTCAGTACCTTGAGGATTAGAAGTTTGGGGAGTATCTGGGATCTGGAGATAATGATACAGGCACTGGAAATCTTCTGATGGGCACTAGAGTCAGTGAGCTGTGTGGGCAGCAGGCTGGTTGGTAGCAGTTGACTCATGTCTCTGGGTATATGTGAGGCACCCCTTTTGGGACCCCCCCAATAGAATTCACCAAGGACTTTTTGGGAAGGAGGTTGAGGCCTTTGTTATTAGGTACGTGGGAGCCTAAGTCAGTGTGACATGGACTGAAGGCAAATGTGACCATACTTCGTAATTGTAATCCCAGAAAGCCTGAGCACATTAAGAAGCAAAGTAAAATGTAGGAACAACTGACACAAAAAATATTCACAGAGTCAAACTGTAACTGAGTACCCTCACTTTTTCTGAAAGATAGCTTATTATTTCTTTTTTTCTCTTTTCCTTTCTTATTCCCCCAGTTTCTCACTTTCTACTTAGTCCTTTAAAAAGGCAAATGTAGGTGAGCACAGTGACTCATGCCTGTAATCCCAGCACTTTGGGAAGCTGAGGTGGGTGGATCACCTGAGGTCAGGAGTTTGAGACCAGCCTGGCCAACATGGTAAAACCCGTCTCTACTTAAAAATATATATATATACAAAAATTAGTTGGTCATGGTGGCAGGCACCTGTAATCCCAGTTATTCAGTAAGCTGAGGCAGGAGAATTGTTAGATTGGACCATTGCACTCCAGCCTGCGTGACAAGAGTGAAACTCCATCTCAAAATAAATAAATCACAAAAAAATTTAAAAAGGCAAATATAGCCTTTTACCTTGTCTTAACCGGACAGTCCCTATAGGGCAAGTTCAACTATGTGCTTAGGAGCTCCAGAAAGGAACTCACCCACAGGAGAATGCCTTAAGAGATAACATCCAATTTCTACAAAACTCCCTCCCACCAGAAGACTGCCTTGAGAAATATGAAACTCTCTTCCATCTGTGGGTTTTGAGCTTAGATCTGCACAGCGAAGGTGCCAGCAGTCACCAGCTTGACCACCAGTAGATAAGGAATGCAAACCCCTCTCAGACAACTGCTTGCTTCCTTCGCTTTAAAACTGCTTGCTTTCTGCTCCACAAGTGAAGCAGTACATTTGGGAGGAAACCTATACTTCTTCCCCTTAGCTAGCTTTGGAATACATCACTTTCTTTAAACTAGACCTTGCTGTTGTTAATTGAAATCTGCAAGTGGTGAGACCAACCCTGTGTTTCGGTTATAAAACTCTGAAGGCCATCTGAAACTTACAAATGAGATGGATAGGGAATTACTTTTTCCTGTACTTCCTTTACTGCATCCCTTTATTTCCAGATCTTAGTAAGCAATAGTTTCTTCATCTGAAAACTGTGGATCACGATAATTGTCTTGTCTGTTTTAGAAGGGAAACAAAAATTATGTTGAAATTAATAGGAATAGTTATTGAAACAGGAAAGGGATAACTTGCAGGGTTTGAAGCAATCACATGTTGAGTACTCAGTCAAGGCCTTGTTATTTATTTATTTATTTAAATCAAAATGTTGACTGGGATATTTTATGGGTAGGAGGCTTGATTCCCAGCACTTTTCCAATAGGACAACAGAAGAACCTTGTACTGCCCCAGAGTTTCCTTTTCCCCCAATAATAACCCTAAAGCAAAAGCTTGTATTGTTATCATCGCCATGTGACAGAGGGGAACTTGGAGATTGGGGACTTAACTGACTTGACATCAAGTCTCAAAAAGGAACAGTGGCAGTTTGAGACTCTGATCTATGACTCTTTCAAGAACTTAAGATTGCTTCCATAGCGACACCTGCACAAACAGTTGTCAACAGCGGCTGCAAATTACAAGCTGCAAATTACGGAAGAACATTTAAAACATGCCAAGAGTTCCTTTTTCAGGCCCAATACTATAGTAGATAGTATAGCCTTTGGAGCCAGAATCACTGAGTTTGAATCTTGCCTCTGCCACTTGGTAGCTGTGTGACCCTGGCTGGGTACTTAACGACTCTGTCTCCATTTTTCTGTTTGTAAAATGAGGATAATAACACCTTCTTTGTAGGGTTGTTTTAAGGATTAAATGAATTAATAGGAGTGAGCCACTTAGAGTAGGGCTTGTTATATGGTAATCTCTATTTAAAATCCTGTCAGATACACTAGAGCAAACACTTTAAAAGTATCTGTCAAATAAATCAGTAAAATAGAATCGGGGAATTGGTGTTTTAAAAGTACTCCCCCACGGTATTCTAGTTTGCAGCTTAGGTTTTAATCTTTGAATATGGCGCCTTTTGCGATCTTGCCTCGCGAGAAATTGACATTAACCAATGAGTGAAAGGAGCTTTTTTTTTTTTTTTTTTTCCCCCCTTCCAGGAAGCCTTGGCCGCTAGAAACTTGTTACCAACACTGTGCGGAGACCAAGGGGGCGGACGCGCTCTCCTCATCCCACTTTGGGAGTTGTAGTTTCCTATAAGCGCTGGGTGGTCCTGTAGGCCAGCGGAGAACTACAACTCCCACAATCCTGCGCGTCTCCCGCCCTGCCTCCCGCCCGCGATTCTCGCTCAGCTCCCATTACCGCCCCTCGGCGGCGGCTGTGGCGGAGGCATGATGGCCGACGGCGGCGGCCCTTCGAGGGAGACCAGCAGTCGGGGCTCTCCCGGGCCGGCGCCGCGGGTTCCGCGCGCGGTTGGGCCGAGTGGCGGTGGCGGGGAGACCCCGAGGACTGCGGCGCTGGCGCTGCGCTTCGACAAGCCCATCAAGCAGGCCTTCTACAACACCGGGGCCGTGCTGTTTGTGTGCCTGTGCTGCGGCGCCGCGGTGCTGGTCTACTTCATCCTAGAGGCCTTCCTGCGGCCGCTGCTTTGGGCAGTGCTGTGCGGCACCTTCTTGCATCCCTTCAAAAGCTCGCTGACGCGCCTGGGCCGCCACTGGCTTCAGCGCCTGCACCGCGCGCACACGCCCATCGTGCTGGCCGCGCTGCTGCTGCCGCTCTGCTTCGTCGACTACGGCGTAGAGGCCCTGGGCGAGCAGGCGCTGCGCCGCCGCCGCCTGCTCTTGCTGCTCGGCGCCGGCGGCCCACTCCTGTATGGCCTCTACTGCCTCGGCAGCTACCTGGGCGTGCAGGTGCTGCTGGTGCACGCCGCCGCGCTCATCTGCCGCGGGCTGGACTACTTCAGCAGCCTGTGGGTGAGTGAGCGGCAGCCCGGGCACCCCCACACACTGGGGTGCAGTCCTGCAGCTGTTCCTCCCGGTGCAGGGGCGACGAGAGGGGCCACACCTGTTCTGCAGTGACTGTCCGTCTCCGCTTTCCTTCTCACACCGCAGGAATTTGGCGCACTTTTCTTCCAAAAATGGGGCGGGCGTGATTTGAAACAACCTCCCTGCTTCCCGCCTTGCCTCCATCCTAATAGGCCCTCTTAGGGGGACAGTGCCCTGGCTTGAGAACCGCTATTCCGCTTTGGAGACAGAGGCCTCAGAGCATGGCAGTGGGGTTTTACTCCTGGTCGGAGAGGGAGGGGGTACTTCGGCCACCTCAGTTCTGCGCATCTGAATGTCAGATATGGAAGGGGCCTTAGAGATTCTAGGCCAACTTGCCATCCTGCAGATAGGAAAAGTGACCTCTTACCAGTCTAGGGCTACTTAGGGACAAAGAGGGCACTGGGTGTCTTAGATTTCTCACACGTCCTCAAACAAAGCTTGCTTCATTTGCTGGTGCTGCCAGTCAGTTCAGGAGATTTCAGTATAATTTGTGCAAGGCATTGGGTGCTGAGCCGCCTGTGCCTCTTTCTCTCCACGCCTTACTTTTTGGTAACTACTTTTGTTGTGCAGGGACTGGTGTGCCCCGGCACACCTCCCGCCTGGAGTAAAGCAGCTGACCGCGTGAAAGAGAAAGACGTAGATTTGTGATGCTTGGATTACCATGACCTTGCTCTTAGAAAATTAGGGAGCTTTCGAATTGGAAGGGATTTCAAAGATAATCTAGTGACACAATTCCTAACTCAGACTATATTGTAGACTAGTTAATGATCCACATTTAACTGGGACTGTTAAAAACAAGTGGAGATTTAGTGCGTAAGAATGCCGATTGATAAGTAAACAGTGCCATTTACAAGTAAGTTTGATTCACTTCTTTTGTCAGTGAAATAAAGTTCAAGGTACCTTGACATCATTAAGTTGCAAAGTATTAATAATTCCCCGTATCTGTCAAGCAGTGTTTTGGCTTGCCTGAGGTTATTGGTAGAGTGGTTAATGATCCAGAACTCCCGTGCTCTCTCCTGTTCTCTCAATACCACCTCTTGGTTCATGTTTAAAGTTGATTGAGTATATGTTAGGTACCGGGCTTTGTGAGGGATTTTAAAAAGGAATAAGATACGGGTCCTGACTTCAAAGTACATATAATCCTATATGCTAGTATTCTTTTTTTTTTTGAGACGGCGTCTCGCTCTGTTGCTCAGGCTGGAGTGCAGTGTCTCCTCGATCTCCGTCTCCAGTCACTGCAACCTCCACTTCTGCGTTCAAGCGATTCTCTTGCCTCAGCCTCCTGAGTAGCTGGGATTACAGGTGCCCACCACCACGCCCAGCTAATTTTTGTATTTTTAGTAGAGACAGGGTTTCATCATGTTGGCCAGCTGGTTCAATAAAAATTAGCTGGGCGTGGTGGCGGACGTCTGTAATCCCAGCTACTCGAGAGGCTGAGGCAGGAGAATGAGAATCACTGGAACCTGAGAGGCAGAGGTTGCAGTAAGCCGAGACTGCACCACTGCAGTCCGGCCTGGGTGAGAAGAGTGAAACTCCATCTCAAAAAAAAAAAAAAAAAAAAAGCTTGAAATTTAAGCTGTTTGGCTCAAGTGTTGGGAGCAAGGAAAAAGAGAGGGATAAAAAACCCAACAAACTCATCATAAAAGAGTATGAGTTAAGTAGAAGTGAGTAGGGAGAGGTAGAGGGGCTAAATCTGAAAGGCTCCAAGTTGATTGTAGTTTAAGAGAAATGAGGCATGGAGTTGCATTCTGCTCAAGCAGCACTTAAGGGTGGATAGTTGGATGGAGGTGAGGTGTACCTGGGAAGGCAGGGAGTCCTTGCTCTCATCTAAAACTGCTGATGAAGGCCAGGTGGGGTTGCCCATGCCTGTAGTCCCAGCACTTTGGGAGGCCCACACTGGTGAATCACTTGAGGTTAAGAGTGAGATCAGCTTGGCCAACATGGCGAAACTCAGTCTCTACTAAAATTACAAAAAATTTGCCAGGCATGGTGGTGCACACCTGTTGTCCCAGCTACTCGAGAGGCTGAGGCACAAGAATCTCTTGAACCCAGGAGGTAGAGGTTGCAGCGAGATGAGATTGTACCTTAACACTCCAGCCTGGGTGACAGAGCAAGACCCTGTCTCCAAAAAAGCAGAAGTGCTGATTAAAGGCTAGGCCATAATGACGTAATGCCTGTAATCCCAGCACTTTGGGAGGCCAAGACAGGAGGTTTGCCTGAGCACAGGAGTTTGAGACCAGCCTGGGGAATATAGTGAGATGCCCCCTCCCCACTTTTTTTTAAGTGCTGATTAAGGCCTAACATGAAGTGAAAGTAGGTTATGTGGCTGGGCAGGAGGCCCACTCTGGAACTTTTCCATTCCACAGTTCACAGTGGTTTGGCTTTATGAGCCGAAGCAGGGTTGCCTGGTATAGAACAGTGGTCTTTATGCTTTCTAGGCTACTTTAACCATGAGCCTGGTGCTGAAGAGCAGTAAAGATGAGAGAGGCAGAAAGAAAAGTTACCTTTAAGTGAATCCCTGTTTTGATGAACTGACAGTTTATCCATGTAAATTCCAGCTTTTGAGCATCTACATGTCCCAGGCACTAGATTAGGTTCTTTTACATGGGTGTTACTTCATTCTCACAACAGTCCTGTGAGGTAGGAGGGAGGGATTTCATATGTGAGAAAACTAATTTAGAGATTTATCTGTTCATGCTGTCAGTAAATGGCATTCAGTAGACCTAGCAGCAGTTGAAGTCCTGCTCAAAACTCTTTGTAGTAACTAACCTTCAATAAGGTTTTAAAAAAAGTTTTCCCTAATACATTGTGTTTAATTGTTTTTAATATAAATGGATTCTAGGCCGAGCCTGGTGGCTCACAGCTGTAATCCCAGCACTTTGGGAAGCTGAGGTGGACTGATCACCTGAGGTCAGGAGTTTGAGACCAGCCTGGCCAATATGGTGAAATCCCATGTCTATTAAAAATACAAAAATTATCTGGGTGTGGTGGCAGGCGCCATATTCCCAACTACTTGGGAGGCTGAGGCCTTAGAATTGCTTGAACCCGGGAGGCGGAGGTTGCAGTGAGCTGAGATTGCACCATTGCACTCCAGCCTGGGCGACAGAGCAAGGCTGTGTCTCAAAAATAACTAAGTAAATAAATGGATTCTAGTTACTAGGAAAAAACCAGCAGGATATTAGGATTCTAGTTATCTAGAAACGTTAGTCATCTCTGTGCTTTCCTCTCTTTTGTCTTTATATCTGTGTGGTTTTCCAGGTACTGTCAGTTTTTCTTTGTAATGTCCTCAGGACCTACGTTTTTCTTTTTTTCTTTTGAGACAGTTTTACTCTTGTTGCCAGGCTGGAGTGCAATGGTGTGATCTTGTCTCACTGCAGCCTCCACCTCCGGGTTCAAGAGATTCTCCTGCCTCAGCCTACCGAGTAGCTAGGATTACAGGAAACTACCACCACCCCTGGCTAATTTTTCATGTAATTTTTAGTAGAGACGGAGTTTCACCATGTTGGCCAGGCTGGTCTTGAACTCCTGACCTCAGGTGATCCACCCACCTTGGCCTTCCAAAGTGCTGGGATTACAGTTGTGAGTCACTGTGCTTGGCCTGCACCTATTTTTTTCTTTGTCACAAGTTTATCCCTCCAGTTCAGTTCCTCTTCACATCACTTGTAGATTTCTTCAGTCTCCTAAAACTCAGTGCTGCTTACAAGTGAAAAACTAATCATTTATGGGATGAGTAATTCTTTTTCAACAGCTTCAAATATGTCAGAAGATTGTACTGACTTAGTGATTTAAGAACACTTAAAAAAAATCAGCTGTTGCACCAGGTTCACATATTACTCAGTTCTTGGCATCTTCCCGTGGTGGAGTTGTGCAAGGTAATTTGAAAAAGCTGATGATGTGCCCTGCTCCATCATTACTGTCTCTTGGGGGACATTCTGATCTTCCTCACTCCGTTACTTTAGACTTGGTAGAAAATTTGAAGACCATTTAGTTTTTGTAGTAGTAGCAGATTTGTTTTTTTCCTGTGGTTTCTGATCCCACTGTTTACATCTTTTTAAAGAAGCATGAAGTGGAAAGAATAGTGGCTGATAGATCAGAAAACTTTACGTTCTAAACTTGGCTCTGCCACTAACATTGTGACCTTGGGCAGACCAGGGCCCTCCTCTGGGATGTTCAGCCCCAGTTGTGTAAAGTGAGGGGTTGGCTTGAACAATTTCTAAGATTTCACGATGTTCTATTTTACAGATCACATGAGGCTTTTCAGCAGTAGACATTAGCTGTTCAGTACTGACGCTGTTCCACTTTTAAACGTTTCTAGGTTTGTTTCTGCTTGTCTGGCAGCAAGAAACAAGAGAAAAGTTTCCAGTGGTTAGTTTTCTCAGTTAAAGACTTCAAATATAAAGATTGTTGACTCTAAGTTGCCTTATAACAAAGAGAACAGTTTTCACATTAGAATTAAGCGATTAATTGAAGGACCTGAAGCAGTTGCTGCTTGAGGCTGTGATTAGGGTTGTGGCTCCATAACTTGGGAGGAGGACTGTAGTTTGCCACCCCCAACCCCGAACTTTTGCTCTTGTTGCCCAGGCTAGAGTGCAATGGTACAATCTCAGCTCACTGCAACCTCAGCCTCCCAGGTTCAAGTGATTTTCCTGCCTCAGGAGTAGCTGGGATTACAGGCGCCTGCCACCACACCTGGCTAATTTTTTGGACTTTTAGTAGAGACAGGGTTTCACCATGTTGGCCAGACTGGTCTTGAATTCCTAACCTCAGGTGATTCACCTGCCTCAGTTTCCCAAAGTGCTGGGATTACAGGTGTGAGCCACTGTACCCAGCCTGTAGTTTTATTCTCTCTGAAAAAAGCTTAGGCAACTGTTCTGCAAAAACGGGTAAAAGGAGCAAACCAAATTGTTTTTTCAGTTAATGCCCAGATG